TCAGGAAAGATGGGTCGTGTATCCGCATCGCCTGGATATTCAGGGTTGTTGAAAAAGAAGTGAGAAGAAGTTCCAGTTTTTTCATATGAGGGCAAGAAAAACCCAAGAAGATCTTCGTACTCCCACCTCAAAGGTCATTCGACCATCTCAAAACTTATGCAAGGCTAGTTAGAGAAATAATCGACCTCCAATTTACCAAAATCCATCTCTCACTTATCAAAATCCACCTCCAATTTATCAAAATCAATCTCCCACATACCTAAATCATCCTCCATTTTACCAAATTTTGTCTCCTCATTATCATGGTGTTGCTCCCAACGGTGCTAACGTGTAGTCGAGCTACAGAGCAATCCCTTATGTTTATCAAGTCCAAACTCCACTATACAAAAAATTTCCCTCCAAATTATCAAGCTCCATTGTCAGACTACCAAACAAATCCATATCCAGAAATCAAGCTCCCCGTCCCTACAATAGAAATTATCAATAGATGAATCCTCCACAAAGCAGTATGATCCACCTCGACATAGATTCGCGAAAAAGCTTTCGCGGAACTTTACTACGCTCAGCGAAAGCCAAACAAAGTTGTTTGAGTGACTAGATGCAGCCGGGTATATCCACCTAGTGGAGCCCAAACCAGTGGATACAAGTTCTAAGTTCTATAATCCTGATCAAAGATGTGCTTATTATTTAAACAGTGTTGGAAATGATATTGAGGATTGTATCAACCTCAAGCATATAATATAGTACATAATCAACCAAGAGGTGGTATCTCTACAACCAACTGAACCTAATGTCAAAACCAACCCTTTGCCGAATTAGGGCGGTGGCAATGTTAATATAATAGGGACATATAATAATTGGTGTGTGACAAAAGTGATAAATCCAATCCTGAATGATGATTTGGAATGATCTGTGGCTTCTTTGAGTATCAAAGAGAAAAAAAGAGTTCATTATCCTGACACCTGCGAAGGTTGTTACCCTGGTGCCATCAAAAACTCTTGTCAGGTCAAAATTTGTGATTGAAGACGCTGCCACTCAGGGTATGTCCCATACTAGGAAAATCTATACTCCTGAGGAGTTTTATCTTAGAGGAAAGAACAAGGATCAAGGGAAAATGCCTATCAGTGAAGGCGAGGCGGAGGAGTTTTTGAGAAGAATGCGGCCGAAATATTATTCTATTGTCAAACATTTGGAGAAGAATCCAGCCCAAATTTCCATTTGAGCCTTGCTGATGAGTTCTCAATTGCACAGACAGGCTTTGATGAAGGAACTCGATTACACATATGTGCCAGCGAGCACAAGCAGTGATAACGTAGCCGCTATGATTCACTCGGTTATTCGAGGGAATCCAATCAGCTTTTGTGACGATGAGCTGCCTTTTGAAGGCAAGTCCCGCAATAGGAACTGCAAATCAGTGTCGTCTGTCACGAAAAGACAATCAATCGCATCTTAGTAGATAATGGATCTGCTTTGAACATCTGCCCGTTGTCGACGCTAAGGCAGTTGAAGTTTGACTTGGGAAAACAAGAAAAAGATCAAAACAATGTGAGAGACTTGGATGGGGTTAAAAGAGATACCTTGGGAGTAGTAAATATCATTATCCAATTGGTCCCGACCGAGTTTAGAACACACTTTCAAGTTTTAGATATTGAACTAGCTACAACCTTCTTCTAGGAAGGCCTTTTATTCACATGGATGGAGTTATGCCTTCTACCCTGCATCAAATGATCAAACTTGTTTTGAAGAACGAGGAGCTGGTTATTAATGGTGAAGGGAGTCATTCTGGCACACAAGCGCCAATTATCTATGAAGTGTCTCAAGGTATATTATTTTATACAATGGATCTGGTTAATGCCACTGTTGAGGATTTGGCCCATACCCTTCTATGCCTGTCGTGTACAAGATGATAGCCACTGTGATGATGCAAAATGGTTTTGAACCACGTTTTGGATTGGGATGAAATTTCCAACGAATTGTTGAGCCTATTCTGTTCCCCTTAAAAAGAGATAGATTTGGCTAAGCCGATCCCTCATCTATATCAATCATTTCTATTCAGAGAGTATGCTGAACAAGACAATATTGGGGAAGGAATCTACGGCCTCTTTGAAAATATTGATGATGTTATTAAGGACGAGGTCGAGCTGAAAGGATTCTGTAATGTTGAGCCCGGAGAGATGCTGCAAAACTGGACCTCCACGCCAATTATGATTCCCCGAACTCCTTGCAAGAAGGGCATCATTTATGCATATTTAAATCGGTGGCGGTCTGGAAAAGGACCAAGACCCACCATTTTTCATTTTGATTAATTCCTTAAGTTTTAAAATTCCCTCGTGATGTTTGAAAAAGGCAACATGGAACTTTGCCATAGACAAAGTTTGCATTATTTTCCACGATTAGTGAAAGCCTCTTTTATTTAAATTTGGTTATTTAATTAATTTCTATACTGTACTTGTCTAAATTTTTCTATTTATGGTTTCAGTAATATAAGTTTTAAATCTGCCAATGTCGTGTCATGTCACGAGCTGAAAAAACAAAATGAGGCAGGTGATGACGAGGTTGATGGTTACGAGGAAGAAAGTTAGGTACCAAAATATATTACTGAAGAATTTCTATAGTTTGAAACCAGCATAAGCCGAATCTAGAGGAAACTGAAACTGTAAATCTTTGAGACCAAGAGTGCGTTAAAGAGTGTAAAATCAGCATTCACATGAATGAAACTTAGAGCAGGATCTAGTACATTTGCTGACTGAGTACATTAATGTGTTCGTCTAGGAAGTAAGAGACATGCTAGGGCTGAGTAGCAATGTTATTTCTCACAAATTGCCATTTAATCCAGGGTTTAGTATAGTGAAGCAAAAAATTTGAAAATTCAAGCCTAAGTTGAGTTTAAAAATAAAAGAAGAGATCACCAAGCATATAGAGTCTCTATTGGTTGAAGTGACACAAAATCCTACTTGGTTGGCCAATGTTGTTCTGGTCACTAAAAAACATGGGAAGATCAGAATTTTTGTCGACTACAGGGATCTCAACAAGGACAGCCCGAAGGATAATTTTCTGTTGCCGAATATCCATATTCTGATCGATAAGTGTGCTAAGCATAAAATGCAATCATTTGTGGATTGTTACTTAGGGGGATCATCAGATTTTGATGGACGAGAGAGATGCAGAAAAGACAGTTTTTAGTAAACCTTTGGGTGTATATCATTATAGGGTGATGCCATTTGGCCTCAAGAAAGCTGGTGCTACTTATAAAAGGGCTATGATGACCATATTTCATTACATGATTCATAAGAAGATAGAGGTGTATGTTGATGACGTCATTATCAAGTCCCGCAACAGTTCGGACCACTTGACACATTTAAAGAAGTTCTTTGCTCGTGTGCATCGTTATAACTTAAAGTTAAATCCCGCTAAATGTGCTATTGGAGTTCCAGCCGGCAAATTGTTGTGATTTATACTGAGCATAAGGTGTATTGAGATCGATCCTTCAAGGATTAAAGCAATTCAACAGTTACCTCCGCCGAAGATGAGAAAAGAGGTGATGAGCATATTAGGGAGGTTGAATTACATCAGTCGATTCATAACTTAATAAACCTTGGTGTGTGAGCCTATCTTCAAGCCTCTGAAGAAAGAAACTCCGACAAAGTGGACCGATGTGTGTCAGACTGCTTTCGACGCTATCAAGAACTATTTTTCAAATCCACCGGTATTGGATTGTCCATGAGAGGAGATTCTTTTGTTGTTGTATTTGTCCGTGTCAAATAGTGCATTCAGATGCATACTCGGTCAACATGACAAGATAGGGAAGAAGGAAATATATATCTTTACATAAGCAAGAAGTTTACTTCATACGAGTATCGTTACTTTCTGTTGGAGAGAACATGTTGTGATTTGACTTGGCTTTCTCAGAAGTTGAGGCATTATTTGTCTTCCTGCACTAAATATCTCATTTCCAGAATGGATCCATTGATGTATATTTTCCAAAAAGCGATGTCGATAGGAAAGTTAGCTAAATCGCAAATGTTCTTGAGTGAATTTGATATTGTGTATGTGACTCATAAGGCAATAAAGGCAAAAGCCTTAGCTGATAATCTTTAAGAAAATCCTATTAATGAAGAGTATGAACCACTTAAGCCTTATTTTCATAATGAAGAAGTGTCATTCGTGGGTACAAATATTTCTGAAGCATATCTCGACTGGAGACTATTCGTTGATGGAGCGGCGAATCATCAAGGGAAAGGCATCGGAGCGGTTTTAGTGTCAAATTCTGGTCAACACTATCCCATGGAAGAAAAACTCCAATTTAATTACACGAACAACATGGCTGAGTATGAAGCTTGTATCCACGGTTTTTAAATGGCCATCGACATGAATGTCCACGAGTTGTTGGTTATTTCAGATTCAGATCTTTTGATTTATGAAGTTCAAGGAGAATGGGCTGTGAAGAACCCGAAGATTATAGCTTACATGCAGCATGTACAGAACTATGCAAGAGATTTCGTAGGATCGAGTTTAGACATACTCCTAGAATACAAAATGTGTTAGCTGATGCCCTTGCCACTATCGCTTCAATGATCAAACATCTAGACATTGATTATATTGATCTTGTTGATATAGAGCTAAAAGAACACCCAGTCCATTGTTCACATGTTGAGGCAGAACAAGAAGGATTGTGTTGGTACTCTGATATAAAAAATATTTGGGGTCTGGTATTTATCTAGAAGTTGCTACATCTAAGTGGAGAAGTTCTTTATAGTATAACTCCATATTTGGGTCTCCCTTGATGCGTCGATACTGTTAAAGTTGTGAAGCTTGTCGAATAAGTACATGCGGGAGTTTATGAAACGCATATGAATATGTTCACTTAGGCAATAAAGATCCTTCGAGCCGGTTATTTCTAGATGACTATGGAGAATGATTGTTTCAAGTTTGTGCAAAAATGTCATAAATGTCAAGCGCACGGTGATCAGATTTGACTGACACCTCACGAACTTAAGTCTATGAGTTCACCATGGCCGTTTGTAGCTTGGGGCATGAATGTCATCGTCTTAATAGATCCAGCAGCTTCTAATGGACACAGATTTATTTTGGTTGCCATTGATTACTTCACCAGGTGGGTGGAAATAGCTTCGTGCAAATCAGTGACCAAGAAAGTTGTAGCTGATTTTGTTCAAAACAATTTTATATGCAGGTTTGGTGTACAAGAATCCATCATTACTTATAATGGAGAAAATCTCCACAGTCACTTGATGAGAATTATTTTTGAACAACTTAAGGTCACTCATCGGAATTCAACCGCTTATCGTCAACAAATAAATAGTGTTGTAGACGCTGCCAATGAGAATAACAAGAACATTCTGAGGAAAATTATTGCTAAGCACCGAGGTTGGCATGATATGCAGCCATATGCTTTGTTGGGTTATCAAACGACTGTCAGAACATCGACTCGACTTACTTCATATTTGCTAGTATAAGGAATAGAAGCAGTCATACCCGCTGATGTTGAAATACTGTCTTTGAGAATTATCCAAGAAGCTGCATTGAGTAATGTTGAATGGGTTAGCAAGAGAATTGATCAGTTAAGTTTTATCAACGAGAAGAGAATGGTTGTCTTTTGTCCTGGCCAATTATATCGACAAAGAGTGATCCGCGCTTTCTATAAGAGAGTCATAGCCCGAAATTTTGAAATCGGTCAGTAAGTCCTTAAGCGCATTTTTCCTCATCAAGAAGAGTATAAAGGAAAATTCGCCCAAATTGGCAAGGTCCCTACATGGTTCACAATGTATTATCTAGAGGTACTTTGGTCCTATCGGAGATAAATGGCATCGTGAACAAAATCAATCAACTCAAATACTGTCAAGAGATACTACGTCTAAAGTTTAAGTTTGTATTTATGTCGTTTACATGTTATTGTTCTATTTTTCTTGTATTTTCTTTGTTTGAATTTTATCCCTCTTGTAATGAACTAAGCCTGACCTGAATTCTCAAGGATGAGATACGCAGGCGGCCTATGTCGGCCCTGGTAACCCCATTAATCCCCTTTAATTTTTTCTTTGTATTTGAACTACGTAAGACCTGAATTCTCAAGAATGATATACGTAGGAGGCCTATGTCGGCCTCGATTGATTTTGAGTGTAAATTTCATATGTCGTTATCTTTAAGGGGAACGACGTTTGACCTGATTCCTGCCTCAACGGGATACATAGGTGCCACAAGGGTTCGGTCATATTTCAAGTAAGATTTTGATTATCTTTACAATAGTAACTGGGATAGAATTTTTGAGAGGGACTAAAAAATTTTCAATAAAAAGAGTTTTCCTTAACAAGTCAAAACTGACAATATTTCAAGATTTACAACCGAGACAAATTTTTTGAGAGGATCTCAAAAATTCTGCGATTTATTCAACGACAGTTCAAAGATAAGATGATACATTTAACTGGGACAGAATTTTTGAGGATTACATCAAAGTTGCAACATGATTTTATCGACAGTCTAGAATAATTTTGAATACTCCCTAGGGAATAATCATATATACCCCCAAGCACAAACTCAAAGAGGTTCACTAAGCCTGACGTGACATGAAACTTGGCAGTGCCCTTTTTCAAAATTTACTTCTCGAAAATTTATTTTCTTAAAGATTTTCCTTTTATATTTCATTTTTTTGGCATAAAATATTTGTGTTATCTATAAAGAATTAAGAGATCAGGAAAATCAACCGGAGATAGCAGGACAAGGAGCAGACAACTGAAGAAATCAATACAGATCAGTTTATTTTTAAAACTAACAGTTTTTCAGTAGATGCAAGTTTATAACTTTGCTATGAAATTAGCAAATTCTTCAGATGGATGAATATGGGGAAGTCAAGAGGAGGAGTAAGCTCACCCAAAATTTAACAAACTCTATAGAAGCGGGGAATACTTTATACAGCTTATATTGCAGACATGGGAGTATAAATAGTTTATTTCAGCCAATTTCCAACAACATGAAGTCTATATATAATGTCTAGCTAGACTTGACGTTGAATCAAGCAAAAATCTCAAGAAAGAGTTTATGGTTTCCGTAAAGGACGTCATTTGCATAATATGTTAGATATGATATTATACATTACCTGAAAGGGTCATATATTCTATTATCGTTCAAGACAATACACTACCCGGACCGTTCATTTATTGTATTGTCAATCAAGTAAATACACTATTTGGACAATCATTTTACTGTTATTTTCAATTGAGATGAAATGATTATCCACAAAACACCCTGAAGATCACTATGTTGCTGGAATTAAGCACTATCTTCATTTGGTACTAAAGATGTCATCATGAGTTAATATCCATGTATCACGATTCAATAATCATGCATCACAAAAGATCATGCATCATGAGTCAATTTTCATGCATTGCGGAAGATCATGCCTCGCGAGTCAATATTCATGCATCGCGAGTTAATATTTATGTATCGTGAAAGATCATGCATCGCGAGTCAATATTCATGCATCGCGGAAGATCATGCAATGCGAGTCAATATTCCTGAATCGAGGTAGAGGGTGCATCGCTTATTCATGTATCGCGAGTTAATATTCATGCACCGCGAGAAGATATTCATGCCTCCAGGAAAGTTATGCATCGCAAAAAGACATTCATGCCTCGCAGAAATTTATGCATTGCAGGAAGATATTCATACCCTGCAAGAAGTCACGCATCGCGGGAAGATATTCTTGCCCCGTAAGAAATCATGCATTACCAGAAACGGAATCGTGCATCTCAAGGGAAATATTTACCCCTCAACATCAACTGTTTTTTTATTTGGCAAGAATGAATGCCAAGGAAATCATCAAAAATTATAAGGAGAATTATCAACATTGCATCAACTTTTATTCATTTTGACATCAAATGAAGAATACATTGAAGATTACATTGCAAACATAAGACATAAGTTTTACTTGCTTTAATCAAACCCAATCGATGTTGATGACAAATATCGAAATAGAGAAATAAGTGTCAACATGGTAAAAGACACTACCTTTCATTTACACTACCTTTCACTTCAATTGCATTTTTATGCTAATGAGTTTTAGCTCAACCTTTGTTGAGAGCATCGGAAAGGATGAATTCTCAAAAATCTAAACCACAGGTGTGGACGACATTAAAAAAGGATGCAGCACAACGTGAAACTTTATCTTAGAAGTGAACTTGGACACAGTCCAAAGAGGAATTTCAAACTCTTAAGACGTGAGTAGAGGAGTAACATCCACCACAATCAAACCACACCCCTATTAGAAGGCATGTGGGTTTTTCTATAGGTTTTGTCAATTTCTATCTCGCATCCGAAATTTTTGTGTCTGCCAAAGGCAAGTTTCCAATCTAAGTTATAGTGCGCCAAGAGTTTTGGAAATTATGTTCGTGTAAGTTCTTACCTATGGATGTTAAGCGTGCCACATTAACACTCGACTTAATTTGTCTCTTGTCCAAAACCAAAGGTTATCTAGCATAATAGACTTCCTTTTCAACTGATCGAGTCGAACTACAAGCAGCCTGACTCCCAAGATTTAAGGATATGTAGGTGACCTCGATGTTGAAAACTCAGTTGTATTCCAACATTCGCTCTTAAATCTTATTCTCGAGCATCTTGGTACCTTCGTAATCCGATACCGAGATAGCTTTTGATTTCTTTCAAAATCATCTGTTAAATCTAGCGTACCGAACTATAGGTGGCCTGACTTTTGGTATAGCTTGGGATATGTAGGAAACCCATTTTCGAGGTTCGACCATAATTCATAAAGTCCGTACCCAGATCCCTTTCTCAAAGATGAATATGTGCTCGGTCAAAATTGGTTTGGTCAATTTTATTTTCCTCGAATTTCTTGCATCAATCCAAGTAAAATAGGGGACAGTTGTTGACACCAACTTTTGACCTCCCCGGTATAATTAACTACCGAGCTTCTCGAGTTTAAACAATTTTAAAAAATTGTATGTATATATATATATATATATATATATAATAACAATAATAACATAATATTAAATAAGTTTTAGCTTGCAAATTAATTTTAAATAAGAGTTGGATGTTTCTATATTGTTTTAGCTAATGTATATGTCTTACATAATTAGTCGCATAACTATTTAAATTTTTATTCATATTCAAAATCAAAAATATATATGTACTTTGTTTTATATAAATATTTGGTCAACTATTTACCAATACATTGTTTTTAATTTTAGTTAATTATTTCATAATAAATTTAATTATTTTTATTTTGTTAACATTAATAATGTTGTTAATTAATAATAATAATTTGCCTTATTTTAAAATTTAAGCAAATTGACTAATTACAATTTAATTTGATTGAATTGGTAATCTAAAGACACTTTTGGGCCATTTAGTAACAAATTTCCAGCAAACCTTTATCAATTTCCTCAACTCCCAGGACCAACTTTTTATTTTTATCGTCCTACCATCTGCCTTTTTCAGCCAATCCATTTAATTTTTCAGATTTATTGCCAACCCAGTTTAACCGACATTCCGACCCAATACATATTTTCTTCAAATCACCCAGCCCATTATTTAATTCTGCAAACCAATTTTAATACAACCCATTTTCCTCTATTTATTTTTACAGCCCCAGCCCATCGGAAGAATGCCTAGTTCCGCAGCCCAATCCCTTTAATTTCCCTCAGTTATCCATTTCCTGACCCGACCCGTTTCTCTTACCTTTCTACCAAAGAAAGAAATGCAGACAGCATTAAAAAAATGACACCTGTTACTCATTTTTTTATGGAAAAAAAGTAGAGAAACGTCGAAATCCCCTACTCACAACAACTTCTCAAGATGACGCGCTTCGCAATAGAAGCGAGTGCGTCACAAGTTCACACCTTGGACACGTGAACTGATTTGTCTGTGGTTTCTTGTAGCCTTCCCCCTCTCCAACGTCTCTTTCTTCATCTAGTAAGAGTTGCCGCAGCAAGGACAACACGTGCTTCGTCCTCTTTACTCGAGATAATGCCACGTCAAATCTCAAGGAAGATGGGATTTATCTAGCCAGCTATTCCTCCTTCCATTTTGGGAATCTGTTGAAATTTTTCAGAAAAAAGGTTGATTCTGATTTGAGGCTAGGTTTTGGTTTTGAAATTTTAATGAATTGGAGAGTTGTTTAGAAATTTCACAAGAATTTTGAAACCCTAATTTCCCCTCTATATAAATTCGTTTTATCTTCCATAGGACAGTGATTTTGTTATGGGAAAGAAGTTTTTCTTTAGGGGTTTGGAAATTTTGCTTTGAAATTCATTTCACAGAAAAACAAAGCCTCTGTTTGAGGAGAATAAATATTTGGTTTGGAACTTTTCTTACAAAAACAAAAAGGGAACCAGGAAGATTTTTAGAGAGGGAACTATGAGTCAGAAATCTTGCAAGATATCCCGACTAAATATTCTCGAGTTAATTTCGTTTTGAATTTTTCTTTGTTTTCTCTGTTCTATTCGCTTGAGGTCCTTGGAGTCACATTTGGCGGAGGTGGTAAAGTCTTCCTTTCTCGTGTCTAGTTTGTTGCTACTCGAAAGGTAATATTCTTTCATCATGTTCTCTTCGCTTTTCGACCTGTCCTCTCTGTTTTTTGCTTAGTTTAGAATTAGCATTCTCATGATGGAAGTTTTCTAGTTTGTTAGATGGTTGTTGACTGTCTTGTTGTTTCTTACTTTTTTTCATCTATGTATGGAATCTGAGCATGTATTTGCTTGTGTTATTCTCAAATTTGTAGTCAATACGCTTATTTTAAGTTTTGTCTTTTTTACGTTATTGTTTCTTCTCTGTTTGTGCCCGTGGTCTCATTTGGTTAAGTGTTAAACTCCTTTAATTTTGCCCTCATTGTTTCTGAATCTTGTCTCAGTTAGTTTTCGTCCATATGAGTAGACATGCATATAGATTAGTTCTAAAGTATTTGACTTTCTTTTCTTAGCAGTTCTCTCTTCTCGAAATAAGACCCGTGTTTTTATTCTCATACGTCTCTATCATTTTCATCTATTTTTTCTAATAGATGCCTTCCATGTTTAGATAAAGGTGTTATTCACACTACCATTTCACTGCGTAATAACCAGATGTTGTTAGCTGCTGATATGCTTATTGCTTCCTTCATTTTTCGACCTGTTTTCCATAGTTTATTTAGTATATTGTGCTCTTCCTTTGCTTACTGCAAATACACCTTTCGTGCTAAATCTATCTTCAAAATAATGATAAGTCCTTTTATTTAGGATGATTCATTGTTGGTATCTCATTTATATAGGATTAGCATGATATTGTATTTCAATTCAAATTAATGACTTACATTGTCATGGAGGATATTGCTTTCAACTTGGCTGAGATTGTTACTTGCTATTTCATTTTTGCTTCTTTTAAATAGACTCCCTTCCATTAATTTGTTGTAATTTGTTCAGTTTAATTGCCTAATAATTCATCTATGCCCAATTTCCTGGAAATGGTGCCTTTGATCAATCAATTTCAATTTGGAAGCGTGATTATTGTTTAGCATGGTTGATAGGCTATTGTAGGTTATTCTGGTACCATAGTTTTCTTTATTGATCAAATTTTATTTCTAAGTTTTTCCATTATAAATACGCATTAATCCTTGTTTCCTCTATCTGTTGGACTCATTTGCTATATCCTCACATGTTGTCTATAATTCTTTAAAATGAGTTGGTTCTATAGAATGTGTCTAATGTTTTTTTCCTCCCAAGATAATTCACATGCTTTGAACTTTAATGATTACTGACTAAATTTTAAGGTCAATTATTCTTTTTTAGATTTTGCATGAATTAGATATTAACCCTTTATGAGCGAGGGTTTAGGTGATGTTAATTTTTCTCATGCCTACTATTTTGACCATGGTAAATTACTCAAT